GCCCGGCAAGGGGTTGGGGGGGGGGGGCTGCTTCCATTACACCTGGGACTTCTTCAGACGGGAAGAACCTCGCAAGATCTGCTCTGTGCTCCCGTGCCACCGCTCTGCCCGTCCACCCGGCACCCGCAGCCCCCACCACCGTGGCCACGAGGCTCACTCACCCCGGGAGGGCAAGGAGGACCGGCCGCGGCTGCAGCCGACCCCAGACTTGGATCTGCAAAGCATTCACCGGCTATTTTAGGCCCGGCAGATAAAAATAGGGAGCGGCGAGGCTTTGGGAACCAGCGGTTCTTCCAAAATATGGAACGTGCCAATGTTCCCAGCTAAAATGTAAGCAGGGCCGTATTTGGGAAGAGGAGAGGAGTGCGGTTCCTTGGAACGGGTCCACCTGTCCGCAGCAACCCTGGTAGCCCCAACGGGTTGGGAGGATGGAGGGTCGGGGACCTCCCGGCTCCCCACCAGGCTCCTCCAGCCGGGAAGAGCTACGGCACAGCCCAGCGATGGGTTTTGCTGCCGCCCTGGCTCTCCCGCCTGCATCCTCCCCGTGGATTTGCCGCGTGGAGCCCCATCAGGACAGGCCGCCCCTGCCAGCGTCCCTAACCCTCCGGCGTGTCCCCTCGCAGGTCTCAGGTGTGTGATGGTGGCCTACAGTCAGTCTTGTGGGTATTAATGGAGTCTTCCAAGGCGGCTACTGGGTTGGCGTGCTCTCCGCAAAACCACAGTGTGCTGGTAAGGCCGCAGCACGGGGCCGGGCCGCGTGGAGCCCCATCAGGACAGGCCGCCCCTGCCAGCGTCCCTAACCCTCCGGCGTGTCCCCTCGCAGGTCTCAGGTGTGTGATGGTGGCCTACAGTCAGTCTTGTGGGTATTAATGGAGTCTTCCAAGGCGGCTACTGGGTTGGCGTGCTCTCCGCAAAACCACAGTGTGCTGGTAAGGCCGCAGCACGGGGCCGGGCGGGGGGAGGGGGACGGTGGCTGCTTTGGGGAGGGGGTAGAGGGGCGAGGAAGGCGACGCCATGTCCCCGAGGAAATGGGCAGCCAGGTGGACGCGCCCCTGGGATTGATCCCTGCAGGGCGGCATCGCTGCTCCCGCTACGGCACGGTGCCTCCGGCACCGAAGCACGGTTTGCCGTTGTTATCTGGGGCGAGAGTTTCGACAGCCGAGGAATGCCTCTCGGCTTTGAATTACCCCCGGTAATCTCATCTCGGCTGCCGTCCTCGCTTCCTGCCTTGGATCAACAGAGACTGAATTCCTCTTAAGTGCAAAATTCTACTCAAAAACTTAACTCTCAGCTTCCCAGCTGGCGCCTCCGCAGTTAAAACCTCAGAGGCTACAGCCATCCGGAGGAGCAGACTGGGACCAGTTTGGTCCTTCCCCTGCCGACAGACCCAGCTCTCCCCGCAGGCTTTTCCCACCTTCCCCTTTCCCGGTTAAACATCTCTCCTCGGAGCATGGGCTGCTCCTTTCCAAAACAAGCCTCCCTCTCCCCCCAGGCTGCGGCACGGGAGCTTCCCCACGAAGGAAGAGCGATAAACCACAGCCCCTTTTCAGCTTTGCCTCACCCCAACATCGCGGCTCCTTGCTTTTTTTTTCTTTCTTTTTTTTTTTTTTATTTATTTATGTTTAACACCTCTCTCTGTTGTTACAGGCTTGAAAAAAAAAAAAACCAAAACCAAACCAAAACCAAACCTCACACAAGTTTGGATTCCTCCAAGACTTTCCCACAGCCTCTATCACACATCTGCTCTCCTAGAAGAAAAAACGAAAAGCATACC